TCACACCCAGAAGTACCATCAGGGAGGTGATGGAGAGACACACGTGCTGGGGATAGAGGGAGTCAGCGAGGCCCTGTGGCCTCTGCTGTGGGCTGTGACGCCTCTCTTTCTGGCCTCCCAGAAAGCCAGGTGTGGACCATCACACCCAGAGGCTGGGGTGAGGGGAATGCAGTGTTGACAGGCATGGGAAGAGCTCTTTCTCTGGCTGATCCAATATCTCAAATTCTGGCTGGTGAGGGTTTGTAAGTGGGTGGAACGGGTGACTATTCACTAAGTCTGGCAGTCTCTGCAGCAGAGTGCTGGTTGTGGGTGGAGGCAGGGGAGGGGGGAGTCTGCTTCCCAGTGGGGCTTTGGTTATTCCCAGGCCTAGGTGGCTGAGGCCCTGTATATACCCATGTCTGGGCCTCACACAGTGAGGCAGCTCTGTCTGGGAGAACGACCTGTTAGCAGAGCCCCAGCCAGGGGCAGGGAATACAGTCAGTGCCGAGTTAACTCTTCTTTGGGACACAGGGTGTGGCTCTGGGTCAGCTGATCCAGCCAGACCAGCTTGCACGTGTCACTTCTCACTGCGTCTCCACTGGTATCTGTTAAATGGGGGTGGTGATCTGGCTTCTGGAGGGAGATGTCATGAGTCCCATGCACAGACAGCACTTGCACCTGTGCGTGCCTTCCTGCCCTGGGCCATGGTCCTCCCTTCTTGAGCCCTATGGGACACAGTGGTCTGGCGGCCCAGCAACGCTCTAGTAGGTCAGGGCCGCAACAGCAGAGCCCACTGTAGGTGCCAGGCCCTGCAGGGCCCCGAGGCTTCCCTGTTCATCCCTAGGGGAGCACAGATACCATGGGCGTGGCCTCAGCTCAGGAGCAGGCCCCACCGGAGGGAAGTAAACACCCCAGCTGCGTCACAGCCAGCACCTGTTTACAGGCTCTGAGTCCTCAAAGCCCTGCTACTCCCACACCATCAGACAGGGCTGTCCAGGGGCCAGAGGGTCAGACAGGGCTGTAGGGGCCTAGGGGATGGCACAGGGCTATGTGGGGGCTAAGGGATGGCACAGGGCTATCAGGTGCTAGGGACGGCACAGGGCTATGTGGGGGCTAGGGGATGGCACAGGAATATCAGGGGGCAGGGGATGGCATGGGGCTATTGGGAGCTAGGGGATGGCACGGGGCTCTCGGGGGCTGGGGATGTCACGGGGTTATTGGGGCCTAGGGAATGTCACAGGGCTATGTGGGAGCTAGGGGATGGCACAGGGATATCGGAGACCAGGGGATGGCACGGGGATATCGGGGATCAGGGGATGGCACGGGGCTATGTGGGGGCTAGGGGATGGCATGGGGCTATGTGGGAGTTAGGGGATGGCACAGGGACATCAGGGCTAGAGGATGGCACAGGGATATCAGGAGCCAGGGGATGGCACAGGGATATCGGGGGCCAGGGGATGACACGGGGCTACGTGGGGGCCAGGGGATGGGACGGGGCTATGTGGGGGCTAGGGGATGGCATGGGGCTATCGGGGGCTAGGGGATGGCATGGGGCTATGTGGGGGCTAGGGAATATCACAGGAATATTGGGGGCTAGGGGATGGCACGGGGCTATGTGGCAGTTAGGGGATGGCACGGGGCTCTGTGGGAGTTAGAGGATGGCACAGGAATTTTGGGGCTAGGGGATGGCACAGGGTTAGGTGGGGATTATGGGATGGCACAGGGCTATATGGGAGCTTGGGGATGGCACAGGGACATCAGGGCTAGGGGATGGCACAGGGCTATCGGGGACTAGGGTATGGCACAGGGCTATGTGAGGGCTAGGGGATGGCACAGGGATATCGGGTGCCAGGGGATGTTACAGGGATATTGGGGGCTAGGGGATGGCACGGGGCTATGTGGGAGTTAGGGGATGGCACGGGGCTATGTGGGAGTTAGAGGATGGCACAAGAATTTTGGGGCTAGGGGATGGCACAGGGTTAGGTGGGGGTTATGGGATGGCACGGGGCTATGTGGGAGGTTGGGGATGGCACAGGGACATCTGGGCTAGGGGATGGCACAGGGCTATCAGGGGCTGGGGATGGCACAAGGCTGTGTGGGGGCTAGAGGATGGCACAGGGATATCAGGAGCCAGGGGATGGCACAGGGATATCGGGGGCCAGGGGATGGCACGGGGCTAGGTGGGGGCTAGAGGATGGCACGGGAATATTGGGGGCTAGGGGATGGCACTGGGCTATCAGGGGCTAGCAGATGGCATGGGGATATCGGGAGCCAGGGGATGGCATGGGGCTATGTGAGGGGTAGGGGATGGCACAGGGATATCGGGGGCTAGAGGTTGGCACAGGGCTTTGTGGGATCCAGGGGATGGCACGGGGCAATGTGGGGACTATGGGATGGCACAAGGATATTGGGCGCCAGGGGATGGCACGGGGCTGTGTGGGGGCTAGGGGATTGCACAGGGATATGGAGAGCTAGGGGATGGCAGGGGGCTATGTGGGGTTAGGGGATGGCACAGGAATTTTGGGCTAGGGGATCGCACAGGACTATGTGGGGCTGGGTGATGGCACAGGGCTATGTGGGGGCTGGGGGATGGCACAGGGATATTGTGGGCTAGGGGATGGCACGGGGATATCGGGGGGTAGGGGATGGCACGGGGCTATGTGGGGGCTAGGGGTTGGCACAGGGACATCGGGGGCTAGGGGATGGCACAGCGATATTGGGGGCTAGGGGATGGCATGGGGATATCGGGGGCTAGGGGACGGCACAGGGCTATGTGGGGGCAAAGGGATGGCATGGGGATATGGAGGGCTAGGGGACGGCAGGGGGCTATCGGGGGCCAGGGGATGGCACGGGGATATCGGGAGCCAGGGGATAGCACAGGGCTATGTGGGGGCTAGAGGATGGCACAAGGATATGGAGGGCTGGGGATGACAGGGGGCTATGTGGGGGTTAGGGGATGGCATGGGAATTGGGGGCTAGGCGATAGCACAGGGCTATGCGGGGGCTAGGGGATGGCACTTGGATATCGGGGGCCGGGGGATGGCACAGGCCTATGTGAGGGCCGGGGGATGGCACAGGGATATTGGGGGCCAGGGATTGGCATGGGGCTATGTTTGGGCTAGGGGATGGCACCAGGATATCGGGGCCTAGGGGATGTCACGGGGGGATATCAGGGGCTAGGGGATGGCACGGGGCTATGTGGGAGTTAGAGGATAGCATAGGAATTTTGGGGCTAAGGGATGGCACAGAGTTAGGTGGGGGCTACGAGATGGCACAGGGTTATGTGGGGGCTAGGGGATGGCACAGGGATATCGGGGGCTAGGGGATGTCACGGGGCTGTGGGGGCTAGGGGATGGCACGGGGCTATGTGGGGGCTAGGGGATGGCACAGGGATATCGGGGGCCAGGGGATGGCATGGGGCCATGTAGGGTCTCGGGGATGGCACAGGGATATCGGGGGCCAGGGGATGGCACTGGGCTATGTGGGGGCTGGGGGATGGCACAGGGATATCGGGGGCTAGGGAATGGCACGGGGCTATCGGGGGCTAGGGGATGGCACGGGGCTATCGGGGGCCAGGGGATGGCATGGGGCTATGTAGGGTCTCGGGGATGGCACAGGGATATCGGGGGCTGGGAATGGCACGGGGCTATGTGGGGGCTGGGGGATGGCACAAGGCTATGTGGTAGCTGAGGTATGGCACAGAGACATCGGGGTCTAGGGGATGGCACGGGGCTGTGTGAGGGCTAGGGGATGGCACAGGGATATTAGGGGCTAGGGGATGGGATGGGCTATCGGGGGCTATGGGATGGCACTGGGATATTGCGGGGTAGGGGATGGCACAGGGCTAGCATGGGCTAGGGTATGGCACAGTGGTACTGGTGGCTAGGGGACAGCACAGGGCTCTGTTGGGGCTAGGGGATGACACAGGGATATCAGGGGCTGGGGGATGGCACAGGGCTATGTGGGGGTTAGGGGATGGCACAGGGATATTCGGGGCTAGGGGATGGCACAGGGCTATCGGGGGCTGGGGGATGGCACAGGCTACTTGGGGCTAGGGGTGGCACAGGGCTGTCAGGGGCTGGGGATGGCACGGGCTACTGGGGGCTAGCAGATGAAACAGCTATTAAGTACTGGGGGATCACACAGGGCTAGAGTCCATTTAGGGGATAGGGGATCTGGGAGGATACTTAGTAGCTGTGTGACATTGAGAAAGTTACCTAACTCATCTGTGCCTCCGTGTCCCCATCTGTGAAATGGGGAACCATAGCACCCACCCCACCGAGCTGTTGTGAGGCCACATGGAGCTCAGTGCCTGGCCGGAGGATGTGGGTGGTGCTCGCTGTCTGTCACCTGCAGGGCTCTGCCTGGGGCCCTGGGGATCATTCTCACAATCAGGCAGCAACACTCCCCACCCAGCCTCCTGTGCTGTGTTCAGTCCCGTGTGGGCACCGGGGACAGAGGGCAGATGAGAAATGTGAGCCCCATCTTAGGCATTTCAGGCTGTAATCATGAAGTACCACAGATTGGGTGGCTTATGAAAATCCGAAATTTATTTCTCATGGTACCAGAGGCTAGAAATCTGAGATCAGGGTACTGGCACGCCCAGGTTCTGATGATGACCTTCTGGGTTGCAAACTGCTGACCTCTTACTGTGTCCTCACATGGCAGAAAGAGAGGGAACTAGTCCCCCGGCCTCTTCTGGAGAGCTTGTTTGGAGGTTCTAGCAGGTGAGCGCCGCTGCTCGCATACCCTTGACCGAAGACCAGCCCTCCTCTATCGGGGGTGGTCGTCCTCTTTGATGGAGCACGCAGCTTTGGGACAGACATGCCTGGAGCAGTGAGGGAGAAAGGGGACATGCCCCCAGCCAGCTAGATCAGCCACATCAACCCTGGTGATCAGTGGCATGACAAATGTCAGCCAGATCGCCCTCACATCCAATCAGCTGCTTCTTACGAGAATGCTGACCCCTCCCTGGTGACTCCACTCTCATGAGCTCATCACCTCCCGTCCTAATCCCATCACAGCTCTCAGCAGGTGGATTTGGGGGGGACACAAACATTCAGCTCATAATGAGCCCTGTCCCCAGAGAGTCTAGAGACCAGGCAAGGAAAGGGTCTGAAGGTCCCCTGCCTTCTGGGAGCCTGGGAGAGTCAAACCAGCTATAAGCTCATTGCTGTACTGGTGGGCCGACTTCTTGATCTTGCAGATTAATTAAACTGCAAGATGAGGACGGTAATGCCGGCTCTCTCCTCATACCCCTGGGACTTTGATGAGCTTGTGCGGGGTAGTGCAAACTATAAGGTGCAGTGACTGGGAGGAGTGTGGACACAAGGGTATGTACTTGCAGTGGGAAGACATGGGCTCTGGAGTCTGTGGTGCTTGAGTTCCCTCTGCCACTTACCGGCTGCGTGACCTTGGACAAGCCGCTTCTCTTTGGGAGCCTCAGTTTTCCCAGTTGTTCAATACGGATGATGAAAGTACCTCCTTCCAGTTCTGAGAATTCAAAAATGCAATGCACCCAGCACTTAGAATGTGCTTCATAAATAGAAGCACATGACTGGGGGTCAGGCAAGGCCCTGCTCATGGTGACATTCTGGGGATCAGCCCCAATGAGCCTGCTGTCTCTTGATAGCCCTGAAGCAGCCCCAGACTGTGGCCCGGCAGGTGCCCCAGGTCATACCGCTCAGCACAGCAGAGCTGTGTGGCAGCGTCTCAGCCCCTGCCGCAGGAAGTGTGGGATCCAAGGAAGGAAATGCTCCCTCTTGCTTGACCCCTGAACTCACAGACGCTCAGCTCATCCTCAGGGCGGGTGATCGGAGCAGGAGGTGGGTTTGGGGGTGGTAGGAACGAGAGGAGAATGGGGCGTGGAACCGGAAGGAGTGACTGGGGTCCGTTCTGTCTGCCAGGGGTCCTGGAGGAAGCCGAGTTCTACAACATTGGCCCACTGATCCGCATCATCAAAGACCGGATGGAAGAGAAGGACTACACGGTCACCCAGGTGGGGGCAGGGGCGGCACCCATGGCCGGGGCAGGGGCGGCTGGGGAGTGGGAGGCGGAGGAGGTTGGGAGAGACAGGACCCGGTTCATCATGGGGGTGCCGAGCTGGCTTGTAAGGACAGGAGTGACTGTTGGACTCCCAGGCTGCCCAGCATAGCCCCAGACTGGGCAACGGACGCTGGGTTCTGTCCCTGCTTAGCCTCATTTGCTGTGTGACCTTGGGCTGGGCTTGCCCTCTCTGGACCTTGATTTCCTCTTATGGGATAGAGAGGGGTGGGAGCTGCACCCCCATCCCTTCCTCACTGGCAGGAGGGGGTCAGTGTGGAGGTGCAGGGTGCCCTGCAGAGGGCAATGCAGGGTTAGCCAATTGTGCATTTCATGGGATCAGATGGTCACCTGGTAGGCACAGTGCAGGCTGTTGGGCCTGGCATTGGTGAGCTTGGAGCCCAGGCCTCCCTGGTTAGTCTGCAGGAGGGAGGGAGGGAGGGAGATTTTCCACCTACGCTGGGGACAGGTAGTGAGGAACCGTCTCCAACCCCCAGTGGACTGAAGAGGGGAGGCTCTGGGTCTCCTTGAGGGCCTGACTCCATTGGTGACCCTAAATGTTCCCCAAGCCCCACCCTCGTTCTTTCTTGAATTACCTGTGTTCTGGTTCTGTCTTCTCCACCCTTGAGCTAGGTGACCTTGGGCAAGTAACTGGACCTCTCTGGGCCTCAGTGGGAAGTCCTCTAATGCCTAGGCTTCGTGGAAGGATTAAGTGAGGTGGTGCCTGTCGAGTGCCTGGCGAGGAGCAGGCGTTCGGAGCCAGAGCATGGCTGCCTCCCCCAGCCTACCTCTTCTCTCTCCCTCTCCTTCTCTGGGTATGTTGCGGGGGTGGCAGCAATAACTGGTGTTCCCACAGGTGCCCTCTATGTGACCCTTCTGCCCACAGGTCCCACCCAAGCACGTGTACCGCGTGCTGCAGTGCCAGGAGGAGGAGCTGACACAGATGGTGTCCACCATGTCTGATGGCTGGCGTTTTGAGCAGGTAGGCGGGGGACACGGGCATACTACCAGGCCCACCCTGGCCCCTCCCTTCCCGCAGCCCCAGCCTTGGGTTCCCCTCACAGTACCCCCCGCCCCCGGAGGTCTTCTTAAATCAAATTAAACAAGGTTAGAGACCACGCTTGGTGGCAGGTTGACTGGGAGGGAGGAGGAGCCTGAGTGGCCACAGGGCGTCCTTGTTGGCGGGAGTCCTCACAGCAAGCAGCCTCTGATCTATCTGGTGGCACCAGCGAGTCGCTTGCCCCTGAGGGACAGCCCAGGGGCAAGGAGAAGAGACCCACTCAGGTGACCGGAGCCAACACCAGGCCAGCACAGCAGCTCCCGATGCAGTTTTCAGAGTCACCGCAGGGGACATGCCCAGTCACCAGCATTGCAGTAGGCCGGGGAGCCCGAAGCAGTGGCTTCCCATGAGGTCTTTGTGGTGAACAATGGTTCCTCCCAGTCCAGATGTGGTTTACCCGTCAGGAGGTCTTTATCCCAAGGACTTTATTTCTAGTTATGATCGGACCTCCCACCTCTGAGGTCTCCAGAGGAGCAGAGCCAGAAAGTTAGCCCGAGGTCAAATGTGCCTTTAGAGAAGGAGACGGGCTTGGCTAGCTCTCCTCCGCTTCCACCCGCATGCTCCCTGGCACAAGGCTGGAGGTCGGGGCCCCCAGGATGGCCGGGGGGGATGGAGGAATGGGCCCAGTGCAGAGCCAGAGGCCTGGATCACCTCTAGGCCTCGCCACCGACATGCCTGCTACCTTGGGCAAGTTGCATCTCCTCTGCGGGCCTCAGTTTCCTCATCTGTGAAGTGGGCTAATGGCACCTCCTCTGTAGGACGGTTGTGAAGATTAGAAGGGCCGTCAGTAGAGTTCCTGGCCCTCGGTGGGGCTCTCTGTGTGGGCACTAGCCTCATGCAGATCACCAGAAGTCCGTATTGAAGTCTGCAGCACTCAAGAGAGGATGTGGGATCCTCAGTGCCACTCCCTGGTCCACCCCTCCCTAGCTGCGAGTCCTTCAGCAGGCCACCACCTCTCCAAGCCTCTTCTACCAGAGGGGGTGATATTTTCCTCTCTGACTGCTGAAGAAGGGTCTGTGAGAGCTGAATGAGACCCATCACCCGCAAGAACTTTGTTAGCCAGAAGGGCTTTGTGGGCGTGGTTATTCTAGGGACCCCGGAACAGAGGCAGGGCAACTTTGAGCATCTTTGTCAATTGCACAGGCTATCAGAGGCTGAGTGAGCAGGCCAGGGGCCACTGGTCCTTTGCCCTTTGGTCTCAGGAGTGGACCACCTGTCCCACCTCTGCTTCCGGGAGTGAAGGGAATAGTCTGTGGGCTCCACCTTGCCAATCCACCCTGCAACCTTGTCCTGGAGCTGCGTCAGCCACGTCTGGAACAGGGGACAACTGTCCTTTAGAGGCCTCTGTCTGCATTTCAAAAAGGGTCCCCTGGCTCTGGGGCTAGGCTGGGGGTGGTGGTAGGGATGGCAGTAATGCTGCCACCCTCCACCAGGGATTGGGCCAGCCAAGCCAGGTGGAGAGGCTGGTCCCGGGGCACAGGTCTCGAGGGGAAGCACTCCACCTTCCTGCCCAGAGGCGCCCTCAGCAAACCCAGGAGGGGGCCCAAAAAGCCGTAGGATCAGGACAGGAGCTGGTATCTTGATGGAGGCCGAGGCCTGCCCCACTTTGCCCCATGGCCCCCAACACCAACCTGTGTCTTCCCCCCATGCTCCACCCCTCTAGCTGGTGAACATCGGCTCCTCCTACAGCTACGGCAGCGAGGACCAGGCCGAGTTCCTGTGTGTGGTGTCCAAGGAGCTCCACAGCTCCCCGAACGGGCTGAGCTCCGAGTCCAGCCGCAAGACCAAGGTGAGCCCACCCGCCTCAGGCCGTGTCTGCAGAAGGCTCCTGTCTCCCTCCACCTCCCTGTCCCTCCTGCCCCTGCGCCCGCACCGTCCCTCCTCCTCTCTCCCCATGGTCACAGCCACCGCCATCCATCCCATGCCACCCGCCGTTACCCAGGCCCAGGCTGGGAGCAGTGAGATGAGAGCATCCCGAGGGTGCGGCCGGCGTGGACTCAGAGGCCACGTTAAGAGGATGCGTAGTGGCCACTGGGCACTGTGGCATGGGATAGGCAGTCAGGGCACAGGGTGGTACTCTGTGTGACCTAGGACAAAGCTTGTCCTCTCTCGCACCTCTGCCGCATTCTCTGTGAAGTGAGAGGGAAGGACCACATACTCTCTGTGGTATCCTTGGAGCCTGGAACTTCTGGGATCCCAAATGCCCTTTATTCCCCAGGGACAGGTGCGTGTCCCCAGCTGGCCTGAGCCAGGATGGGGAAGCCACCGCCGTAAATCCTGCCCCTTTCCCAGGCTCCCTCCTTGGCCGCTCTGCAGGATGGGGGCAGCCTGGTGGTGGCCTGTCCTGTGTGTCTGCCTGGCCTGTTGAGTCAGCCTCCCGAGAGCACCCTGGCAGCATCTGCCCCCTGTGGGGAGGGGGCTGAGCGGGCATCCTGCCACCCTGGACCCCATGCTGTGGGAAGTCCCAAGGGCCTTCAGCAGAGCCACAGAGTAGGCGTGAACCAGGCTGGGAAGAAAGGAGGCTGCTCCTCCTGGGGCCCCCGCCCCTGCGCAGTGGAGGCTTACCTCTGGCTTCCTGTCTCTGTCTGTCTGCCTCCCTGTCCTGCTGTGATCCACCCTGCCTGCCCACCCACCCCCACCACTGCCAGAGCTGGCGCTGCCCTGCAAGGGTACAGGGCGAGCTTGCTTGTTTTGCCTCCCTGGGCCAAAGCCCCTGGACCTGGGTTGTCAGAGACTGGCTGGCATCCCAGATCTGGGTGGCGTCCACCCTGGGGCTTGGCCACATTTCTACTCAGGATCAGTGTTTCCAAACAAGGCCTTCCCAGGCATACCCCAGTCCCACACCCTCCCTGTTCCGTTTCGACCGCAGCTCCAGCCTCGCTCTATGGAACAGCAGCCAGACTGATCCCTGAGCATGCCCACAGCGCCCCATCCTCAGCTGCTTTCCTCAGGCCTCCCAAGCTGCCCCGGGAACTAGAGAAGATGCCCCCAGCTTCTGTGGCTGGAGCCCTCCCCTCTCCTGAGGTCCCTCTGCCTTGCCTGAGACCGGGTCTTTGGGGATTGCCAGCAGGCCCTGGCCCCCCTGTTAGCGTCTCCACTCTTTCTTCCCTGGGTCCGCCGGCTGGTTCACAGAGCACGGAGGAGCCGCTGGAGGAGCAGCAGCAGCAGGAGGAGGAGGTGGAGGAGGTGGAGGTGGAGCAGGTGCAGGTGGAGGCAGATGCACAGGAGAAAGGTGCAGCCACGCCCCAGGAGGATGATTGCTAAGCAAAGCCGGAGCCTCCCGCCCACCCCCTGCTGGAGCCAGCTGCAGAACTGGGGGCCCGGGGGCTGCTGGGGGGCACCAGGGTTAGCTCAGCCACTTGCCTGGCGCCTCACCCGCATAACCATCCCTTCTCTCACTTTCTCTTTGCAGCCCAGTCATCTCAGGATCCCGCTAACCTTTTCTCCCTCCCACCACTGCCTCCTCCTCCGCTTCCCGCTGGAGGTCCTGCCTCATCTTCATCCACCTCTTCTTCCTCCTGGATCTCATCTGCACCCTGCCTCTTCCCTCTCTGCCCCTGTCCGGGTTTTCTCTCTGCCTGCTCACGCCTCCATCCCGGGGCTGCCCTGGTCCCAGCCTCCCGTGCCCTCCACGCAGGCCCCCTGGCCCTGCACCCCAGACCATCCTGCCTGCCGCCTCCTGCGCCCCTTCTGGTACCTCCTGCCTCCCAGCCTGGGGAGGAGGGGCGCAGCTGCACCTCCTCTGTGCCCACCAACCCTGCTGGGCACCTCTGAGGCTCGGCCTCAGCCTCGGGCCCTGCCCCGCCTCTCCTCCTCCCGCCGCCTCCTCACGTCTCCTCCTTGCAGGTTTCCGCCCGCACCCTCTCAGACCTGAGGCTGAGCTTGCCATGAGGGCTTCTCCTCGGCCCCTCGCCCGCCCCCAGAGCTGCCATCCCTGGTTTGTAGCTTGGCGGTGCTGGCGGGAGGGGTGGAGTGAGGAGGGTGCTCACCTCTTGATCCCTGGACTTGAGCCGAGCTTTTGGCTGATTATCTCCACCCACCAAAGTTTCTCATCTGACCTTGGCCTTGGGGGTGAGGCTCCGAGAGGAGAAGAGAGTTAGGGAGTGGGAGCTTTCCCACCAGCCCGTCAGCACCTGAGCCAGACTGGGGAGGAGGGAGGGACTGCTGAAGCCCAGGGCCCTGGCCGAGTCCTGCACATCCAGGAGCTCCTGTGTCACTGCCTTGTGGTATTCCTATTTCTGTGGGGATGGGGAGAACGGGCCACTTTGGGCACTTTGGGATACCCTTGGCCCATGAAGTGTCAGGCAGAGCTGCCGTAAGGATTGTGAGTGGCAGAAAAAGCCCTGGCCGCATGCCCACAGGCCCCCTACCCCAATCTTCTCTGTCTGCTGTGTGACCTTGGGCAAGTCACTGTCCCTCTCTGGGCCACAACTGCCTCTAAAATGGGGACAGAGAGCTGCTCTTTGTGGCTCCTTTCACCTGGAGTATCAGTGCCTCTCCCAGCCCTAGCCACCCACCACCCCAGTGCCTTCAGAGTCTTGGCAGAATCTGGCCTCTGTAGGTGCCATCACCAGCCCAAGATGGGGCATGGGGCTCCTGGATGGGTTAGTTGGGGCACCTTTCCTGCTCCCGCCGGCTCAGTTCTGAATCTACCTTCTATGGGCCTCAGCCCCACCCCCTCCTCCAGAAGGAAGCCTGTGACTGACTCAACTGCCTCTCTCTCTCCCCCTCTCCCTGCCCTTCAATCTCCTCTCTGCCCCCGGCCCCACATCACCCCCTCCTTACCGGCCCCACCTCCGCCCCTCCCCTCCTCCTGCCCTTCCTCTTTTTTTTTTTCTAGCTGTTACAAGCCAGAGGCACCTGGATGTGAGGCCCCAGATCACCTCCAGGGACTTGGGGTTCCCATCTGAAATCCTTTATTTTTGTACCATGGGGTGGGCCCCGGGCCTGAGAAGGAAGAAGTGCCCTCTCCCTGGCCTCCTCTGTCTGCATCCGTGGGGCTGTGACTTACTCCTGCCTCCAGGGGTGGGGCGGGGGCCCCCTGGGACCTCTCAAGGCCTGAGGTGGGCCCCAGGACCCCTGGGCAGAGCCGACTGCCTGTGGCGGACATGTGACACTGCCTGGCTGTGCCTCTCCAGCCCCCACGCCCCCTCTCCCAGGTCCCCCTGCTGCATGGCAGATGTGCTCCCTCCTGGCCCAGTCACAGCGCCTCCTTGAGCCTTAGTCCAGGGGGTAACTCCTCCCACCCCACCTACCTCACAGGGTTGTTGTGAGGGTGCACGGAGGAGCCAGGTCCCCGAAGGCCCTCAGGTAGTATATAGGGGCCATCCCCCCTTCAGCTGCCCCGGGAGGGAAAGGACCCAGCCCAACCCCCTGGCAGAATGCTGTTTGCAAATGGAGATTCAGGTATTGGGGATGCAGGGTGTGGGGAACTGGCCTGTTAGAGCAGGGGTAGCTGGCTCAGTCTTCACTGTGGTGATCCCACCCCCAGCCACTTGCATTGCCCGCCCAGCACCTGGTCTGGAGGGCGGGGAGAGGCAGCGGAAGGGGCTGGGCAGGGGCAGTGGAGGACTCAGGAAGTGCCCAGGGGAGAGTGGGTGTGACGGCTGAGCCGGGGCCCCTCCTGAATTTGACTTCCCGGGATGGGCCCTTGCTTCCCAGCTGTGTTGGACCCCACCATGTAATAAAGCCCGAAGGAACAGCCCAGCCTGGCTGTCGCCCTCTCTTTCTCTGGGCCACTTTTGGGGACGGGGCTAAACTCAAGGTGTGGTAGACTGGCCCAAAGGAACTCAGCTTTCTCCCGAAAGCCCAGGGACGCTGCCCTGTTGCCAGTTTCCTGTGTGTTGCGGGGAGGGCTTGGGGAACTGGCTATATCCTTTGCCCTGGGGCTGGATACTAGAGCACCCACTCTACCTGGCTGGAAGCCAGGCTGCCTCTGCCACCCCCTAACCCTCTCGGGATACCCCTCCACTTCTACTCTGATGCCCGGGCCACCGCCACCTCTCCCCATTGCTGCCACCCCTCTGCCCTAAATCCCAGGAACTGAAAACCCCCCACCCTCTCCCTTCTCTGAGTCTGCTGGCCCCAGCCCGGACCCCAGGCCCTTCACCTACCCTGGCCGGTTCCTTCAGCTCCCCCGTCCTGCCGAGTCTCTCCGTGGCCTGGCTTGAGGAAGTCCTGCCGGGCAGCGGGGCCCTAAGGTGTGGGGGCTCCCTCTTGCCAGCTCCAGCCTGGAGGGCCTCGCCATTTCCCTGGAGGACACGCCACTCCAAAGCTGGCCTCACCTGTGGGGTCCAACTCTCCTTGCAAAAGAGTCACCAGGAGGCTTGTTAGGAGAGCAGATGACCCTCCGCCCCTCCAGGATTCCGATGGAGACTGGGGTAGGCCCAGGGTGATTCCGGATCACCAGAGGGATTGTGTGTGTATTGTGCCCACCCACTCGAGATGCGCCTCGCCCGCCCGCCCGCCTGCCCAGGCTCCGCCTGGCTGGACCCAGGTGGGTGCTCCCCATCCCTGCCTCCCCTTCTGCCTCATTCACCCACAGACGTGGCAGCAGTGCCCATGTTGGAAAACCCTCCTCTTCAGTCTTGGGCCCCTCTGAGGACCCCTTTCTCCTGCTCTGTTAGGCTTCCAGAGTTGTCCACACTTGACCACCCACCCTCACCTCCAGCTGGCCCCTGGCTCCATCTCCACTGCCCCAGGGGTCCCAAACCACCCTCCAGTCCATCCTGTGGCATTGCTCAGTCTGGGCCCATCCTCTCCTTCCTGGAGTCCTGCAGTGGCCTCCTAACCAGCCTCCCTGCCTGCCACTCCCTCCACACTCATGCCAGTGGGTGGTTCCAAAATGTGCATCCACTCATGTCACTCCTCTACTCTAGAGCCCACCATGGCTCCCCAGTGCTTTCAGGGTCAAATCCTTGGCTCAACTCCAGGTTCTGTTAACCCACCTCAGTTTGCCCCTCCGACTCCTTCAGCGCTTCCCCTCTCTCTGTTCTAATACACACTCGCTCAGCTCGCCAGGTCCCAGTGTGCCTCATCCTTCCAGGACTCTGTGCCTTTGCACATGCTCTTCCCCTGCCTGGAATATCCTTCCCGGATGTGCCCACCTTGACCACCTCTGAGCCCCAGCTCAAGTCTCACGGCCTCCAAGCAGTTTGCCTTGACTTACCCGGTCCATGCTCCCCGCTGGCCCCTTCCCACTGGGTCATCCTCACTGCTTCTGGGGTCAGGAGTCAGGTCCTTCACCCCTGTGGTCCCAGCACAGTGCTGGCGCATGGTTGGAGCCCGAGGTTCTACTCGGTGACTCAAAGAATCCAAAGGGAGTGAGTGTTGAGCTGAAGGGGGCCATAGTAGATGGGGACTGGGAGACAGGAGTCCATGCCTCCTCTACTCCTGACCCCAGTGCCATCATGAGGATGTTAACTGCCTCTCTGAGCCTCAGTTTCCCCCTAAGTTCCCAAAAGACCATTGCTTCTCACATCCCTCACCCTGACCCGAGGGTCCCCAAATGGTTGCCTTCCAGGCGTTTCTCCTGGGACCTGGACAGCTGCCCTGGAGGCCCCACCCTCAGTGGCCATGCCTGCTGCTACTGAGCCCACCTTGGCCTTCTGGACACTTGTCAGACAGACAGGCTGAGCAGGAAGCAGGGGCTGCTTCAATCAAAGGCGTGAGGCTGGTGCCCAGGTCCCCATTCAAACTCCAGCAGTAGGGCCGGGATCCGCAGCTTTATTCCCAAGGGCAGCTGAGCTCACCTCCCGGTGAGGGTCTGGGCTGTGAGGGCCCAGGTGGCAGGCAGGGGTGGGCAAGGACCCTGGCATCAGGGCTTCCCCACCCTTTGGCTTACAGTGGCGCTGGCCCACCTGGCAATCTCCAGGGCTCTGAGGTTCCCTCCTATGGAGGCACCTTCCATCCCCAGACCCCAGGTTCGGCTGGGGCTTCCAAAGCTGGAATCTGCTCTCTGGAGCTAAGGCAGCCCAAGTAACCTCTGTACAGGGTGGGGTACATCTCGGACACTCCCAGGGACCTGGAACCAGCATTCTTGCTGCTGAGCTACCTCCCCGCAATAGGCAGCGGTGGAGGAAGGGGACAGAGGAGAGAGAATCAGGAGGCAGACGGCTGGGTGTGGGCCTGGGTCCTCAGGGGACGTCTTGACCTCCAGCTGCTGGCACTCCTCCGCCTGGAGCAGACATCAGGGGCAAGACAAGATGCCACCTCCTGGGACTACAGAGCCCGCCTGCCTGCCCCCAGAATACGTGTCCTGCTGCTTGGCAGTTGTCCTGGGCTCTGTGAGTCCAAGAGGTGGGCCCCACTCTGCAGGGGGCAGTTCCTCAGGTCATCACTTGCTGGATCCAGCCGATCACCCCTGTGATGCGGGTGTAGACGCCGAAGTAGTTAGGCCGGCCACAGCCCAGGCCCCAGCTGACCAGCCCCGCCAGGAACCAGCGCCCACTGGGTGCCTTGCACACCAGCGGACCGCCCGAGTCGCCCTGCAAGGGAGAAAGGAGAGGACGGAAGCAGGGTAAGGGCACCCCCTTTCTAGGTGAGGGGCCATGGGGATTGAGTTCCTACTTATGGGAACTGGCTGGGTGGTGCCAGAGAGGCGCTTTCAGTCTTAAAGCTCTGCTTTCCCCTCACCTGCTAAACAGAGCCCAAGCCAGCCCTGCGCAGTCTCCAGCCAGTCTGGGCCCTCCTGGACCTGCGCTGTGTCCCCACGCCCCCCTCTGCCTTTGCCTCCCCTCTGTGGCTGACACCTCTTTCTTCTTCCTTGTGTCCACCTCACTGTGGGCCTAGTGCCTTGCGATGGGCAAGGAGCGGAACCGCGTCTGAGCCTGACCTGCCTGTCACATCTCTTCCGGTCTGTGGCTCTGCAACCTTGGGCAAGCTCCTCGGACCCTCCCCCAAGCCTCAGTCTCCTCTTCTGTAAAGTGGGGGCAGCCTTCGCCACCTTGCTGAGAGGATGGGAGGCTTCAGCAGGCCGATGTGAGCAAAGGGCCAGGCCCTGGTGAAGTGAGCAGCATCCTCTCCCTCCCACGCCCGGGGGACTCACCTGGCAGGCATCCTTCTTGCCCTTGCGGTAACCAGCACACAGCATGCGTGGCGTCACCTGGTAGCGATAGGCCTCGCTGCACAGGTCCTGTGGGATCAGCTGCACATCTGCTTTCTGCAGAGCGTTGCTGGTGGGGCCTGTCCATGGTCAAGGGCAGAGGTGAGATCTCATCTGCCTGGAGCCCTTGTTCCCTGTTCTCCCTAAGGCTATTCCCTTTGCATCTCAGGAGCCCGCCTCTCCCCTGCTCTGCCCACCCTTTCCCCTGCTAGGGTTGCTCCTGCCCCTCTGCCTCCCTGTCACTTTATTCTAGCTCTTTCTCTGTGGGGATCATGGTGACAGAGCCCCCCACCAAGGCCCACGTGGATGAGCGTCTTCCTCTAGCTTCTTATCCCCCACCTCTGCCTGCTCAGGCACCTCTGGGCTCTGGCTGGCTCCCCAATGCCCTATTACAGAACCTGGGGGTGTTGCTGAAGCCCATACCTGACCCCCCATGGCTTCCTTAGAACTCTGCAGCACCCCAACTCTGCAGTCCACCCCAGCGATTCTCCACGAGGACTGCACACCACAGTCCCCGGGGAGCCTTGATACACAGGGTGTTCCTTGAGACTCCGCACAAGGTTCTAAGGTGCAGGTGGGAGGGAGAGCTCCTGGTCCGAGATCCTGACACTGCCCTTCTGGCTGCCCGGGCACACCTGCCGCCACCTCCACCCCTCTGGCAGGCTGTGGATGTTCTCAGGTCTTCCTGTCCCGACACCTGTGTCTTCACCTGAATGTCTCCCGTTTGGACGCTGCCACCTCATCCTCCACGCCTCAGCTTCAACAACTCTCCCCTGAAGCTTCCCCTGACCCGACCTGGGCAGGAGCCTCCTCTGTGTCTTCACAGTTCCTGCACCTCCCCGTCCACGTTGGCCCTTACCGCTGTCTCTCTCCCCCCCGAGAATGTCCTCTTCATCCTTACGTGCCCTTCCCCTAGCACCATGCCTGGCACATAGTTGGTGCTCAGAAACATGTCACTGAGTGACTGAATGAGTAGGCGAATAGTGAATGAACCAACCTTTGCTTTGCCATGATTCTGCCATCCCCCTGGGCAAGTCACTGTTTCTCTGAGCCTCAGTTTCCCCCTTAAAATATCTCTGCGGCCCTGCCTGCCTCCAGATTGTAAGTCATTGTACAGAAGCCACCAGCACTGAGGCTGCAGGGCATGGCTGTAGGTTTGCCAGCTGGGCCTGTGTCCACAGAACTGTGCGGTGGCCTCCAGGGATGGCCAGCTCTGGTCAGTGAAGGTAGAAAGGGGAGAGACCCCATTTCTGAGAGCAGAAGCAGGAAGAGCGGGAGCTCTGGAGGCCCCCAAGTCCTGGGTTCCCATCTCTGCTCCAGACCTCTCTGGCTGTGTGACTTACAGCAACATGTCTCTGAGCCTTGGTTTCTCCATCCATAAAATGGGCCCACAGCATCTGCCCCAGGGCTGTTGGGTGGATCCTATGAAGTCACGTTCTCTTAAAATCCAGCCTTGTGTGGAAAGTGCTAATAATTCAGAGCCTCCGCCCTTGCAGCCCCAGGAGGAGCGGGTGGAGCTTGCACGTGGCCAGTGGTCCCAGACCTGCCCCTTTGCCCCACAGGAAACGCCCTTCCAGAAGGAAGGGAAGAGCTGGGAGGGTAG